CAATTCTGATAGTCATCGCCGCTTTCCTTAGCTATTCAGAACTGATTAGAATCTATTACCGTCTCTCCGGAGCCCATAGTTTCGGTTTCGAACGAAATCTCCGAAACGAAAGTTTGACATGAAAAGAACAAACAAAAAAAAAACAAAAAAACGGGAAAACAAAAAATGCTCTGCAAGCTTATGTGCACCGGCTACACTTAACCGCCGCAGTTCAAATACCTATAAAATGGGGCATTAAACAAAAGAAAATCTGTTAAATTCAATGTGCCACCCGTTCAGGCGGCCCGGCCGAGCCGACGCGACCTGGACTCAGCCGCCATGTTTGTTTGGTGGTGGCGCCCCCTATAGGTCGCTGGAGTCGCGAATATAGGCGGCTACGGTGAGGGGCGTAAATGCACTTGCAAGCAAGCGTCTATGAGCAGTTCCGTAACTGAACTAATCTAGTAACGTTGGTATATAGACCATTCCATTTAGCGCTCCCAGGGCGGCGCCATTTTGTTCGACCGCAGCACCCTCTCCATACATCCGGGAAGTTCAGCAGGTCCGGCGGGGTAAAACGAGAGAAAGGGCAAGCGCCCGACTCCGCTAGCAGACGACAAGCCGGGAGGTTGCCGTTCTCTATCTTTGGGCTGTACCGGCGGGCTGTACCGAACATCGAACTCTCGCTCGTGGCTACCGTTGCGAAGGGGTTCGCGTTCTTAGAATATTTATGGCTACTCCAAAATCAGCCTATAGGGCTCTATTGTTTTATTTCAGTAAATGATCAACTAGTGTATCTTTCTTCCGTTACTTCAGTAGCAGTGGAGTCCGCCGGCAATACTACCCTCAACCGCTGCGTCTATTGCGTCAGGAGAGCACGTTTTTATTTATTGTTACAGACTTCCACTCATTGCCGCTAAAGGTCTACACCAGTTCAACTTTGTATAGCAAAAAAAGCTACAGCAACCGGATTTACTTTTCGCCGGAGAGACCGGCCACTCTGGCACATCTTTTCCCATTTATCCCGGTTAGTCTTTTTATCGAGCACAGCATTACACGATAACTTCCCTAACAAAAGCCGCGCATCTGAGCTTAAAATTTCCAGGATGACGCGATTTTAAACCGGGCTTGAACGTCAGCCGGATGTTAGTAACAGCCCACTCGGCGGAGCAGACGACATTCTGGGTGAGAAGGGGAGGGAATTTTTTCGCCTCCCCGCTCCGCTGAACCAAACATTTTAGTGTCTATAATAAGTGGCGCACGATGTTTCCACGAGCCAGCAGCCGCTGTTGTGCGCGAGCACACGAAACGAAATTGACGCTATAGTTCCCCATTCACGCTTGGTGAGAGCAAGATGTGTGGGCTCAGGGGAAAACGAGAATAATGACAGGTTTTTCATCTCACACAGTGGGGTCTGGGGTAAAAGGTAAGCGATCAATTGGTCTAACAAGCACGTAGCCTTCACTTGTGGAGATGAAAAGCCTGTCGTTATTCTCCTTTGGCCCGGAACCCATACACTTCACTGTCATCTTAAGTGCGAATGGCGGACTATGACGTCAATTTCGTTGCGTGTGCTCGCGCACACCGGCGGCTGCTGGCTCGTGGAAAGAACGTGCGTCACTTATTATGAACACTGAGACTGCAGCCTGGGTTCAATCCCCACCCATGCCCGTTTCGATCTGGATGAGCATCGTACCGGCGTGCGGTCGTGTATCACTACTGCGTGATGCACGTTAAAGACCCCAGTCTAGCGGTTGTACTGCAATGGCTAAATTGCTCATCTACAACTAAGACACCAGACGCCCACTGAGGAGGACTAACACTGAGAATGACTATATAAACCAACACACACTTTTTTTTTACGTCTTGTTTTAGTTTTTTGCGCTTTTCGATTTTTATTATGTGTAGCTAACTAGCCCAACCGTCAATTTTATGACGTCACATTCCTCCGTGAGGTTAAATTTGTGACACGTGACATCTTGTTGCAAAGAACCCGCCTTCCTTATTAAGCTTGACCCGTAAATCTTACCGTTGTCTGTCAACGAAGACATAATGATATGCACCACGCCGGAAAGTTTTCTTGCGAAGTAGAAGCGAACCATGGTTTTGGGAATGTAGTCTGATATTCCGCAGCAAGTATGCAAAACGGCGTAATTTTTTTTTTTTTTTTTGGTACTGTCAGTGTTTGAGATTTTTATTCCTCACTGAAAGACGATGGTTTTTGTTGCTTTATTTCAGCGATTTCGTTGTCTGGACCCAGATGAAACGAGCCTTGCCGCATGGGAAAATAACGCAAACTATTTAAAGAATCCGAAATATTGTAACTCTAGTATATTTTTATCACACAGGAGGGTGTTTAAGACGCTACGGAGCAAGAATTAGCATTTAAAGTGGTTTGCAGCGTATGTTGGATCAGCGTACAAGTCATAATATATATATATATATATATATATGAGACTATAAGTTGCTCAGTTTAGGATTTCCATTACTTCGTTACGCCACCAACCATCAGACACCTTCACAGAGTGCTCCAGTGGCTTTGTAAGTGTAACTCCTATCAAGCTTGGGTTGAGCTTGTGTGGTTAGCACAAAGGCAAAATAAACATTGATTGATTGATTGACAGGATTACCGCCATTGCAGCGACAATCGCGCTGAATACTGATCAAGTTGAGGAATTATATTTTTCTATTTGGAGAGTTTTGAGTGCCGAAGAATTCTAGCGTATTTACATGTCGCCAACTGAAGGACACGCCGGCAGCTCCATAAAGGTCTGCTCAAGCCTAGACTGCTTGTTTCGCTCTATGAGTTTGTGTGTGTTTACAAACGGAACACAAGTGCTGGACGCCGTCAATGTGAGACCGTGCGGTCCGTTTAATTTGTCTCATCGAGAATCGCAGAAATGACTGCTGCTTCTGCGCCCCCTTTATTCGTTCCCTCTCTGTCCGCGAACGGAAACTTCAGATCGCCGAGTACATCATGTTTGCGGGCAGCCCTCTGAGTAAACGAAGGCCGTCTAAACTAAACAACGCACGCGAACTTTAGATCAGTCACAGAGAATCTAATACATACGACAGCCCGAAGCAACTCTACAAACATTCGTGCCTGTGAAAACAAAGACAAACAAAAAAAAGAAACAGTTTTTTTTTTTTTAGTTTGACAGAACGTTTTTGAGCGATAAACACCGTTCAAAACTTAACATAGAAAAAAAACGCTTCCGTGTTTTCCTTTTTTTTTTTAATTTTTACGGACCCCTACAAGCTTCCAAATTAGGTTCAAATTCAAGGACGCCGCGCACGATATATCGATTACAAGAAGAAAGATGTAGCGCCCCTCAAGAACGAATTTCATTTTGAGAGCTTTCATCGATGTTCGTGTACTGGCTCAGGTTAGTCAAACCGCGTTGTGGTGCTCTCGTTCTGTGAAATCTGCGTGACTTATGCAACTAAGGCTACACCGCATGTAAGCGTTTTTGCGAGCGACGAGTCGAGCGACGGAGTCAGCGACGAGAGTCAGCGACGAGCAACGGAGATTTCTCACTGTTCCTCGTCGCGTCGCTCGGTCGGAAATGGCTATACGCATTACGCAAAACTCGTATAAAATGAATGGTTACAACGAGTTTCCGAAGCGGTGGCATAGCATAGTGGTAAGGTGCCTGCTGTATGCAGCGGTGAGCGGGCCACAGTTCGATCCCCAGTGTGGGAGTACGTTTTTTCTTTTTTCTAGAACATTGTTTTTGTCGATCATTTGGTGATATTTACGACATTTCTTTTTTACAATTAACACACACACACACACACACACACACACACACACACACACACACACACACACACACACACACACACACACACACACACACACACACACACACACACACACACACATAAAAAAGAATGTCGTCGACGAAACTTCGCAGAATTAAATCGTATTGGACTCCCTTTCCGGAGGTGCAATCGGGGACAGCGAGGTTTCGGTTGCCGGTTGGACGCCACAAAGCGGCGTGTACGGGTTAAGTTTGATAATTAGCAGCCGCACACTGCCGCCGCGAAGCGGCGTGAACGCAGGCGGGGGAGTGGGTTAATGCGCTCACCAGTGATACACGCGCCGTCCGAAAAGGGTGACCCAAATGGCATGAGCTCTCAGCGTAGTGCGTATAGGCGTTTCCTGTCGAAGTGCACGACCTACTGCGTATAGCTTTAAACTTTCTTGGTCGCTTCCTCCCGTCGCTTTCACGCGGTTTCCCTTGTCGCACGAGTGACCGAGCGACAGCGAAGCGGGTCGCCGTCGCTTGTCTCGTCGCTCGCCAAATCGCTTACATGCAGTTTATACTTAAAGTGGAAAGGAAGGTAACATGTGTTGATTCAGGATAGCCGAAAAAGCGTCCACGCCACTTCCTCTTTCCTGGGACTCGCAAGGCGGAAGTGTTCAATATAATAAATAAATATACCGAACAATCATAAGAAGAACATGACAGACATGTTTTTGCATTTGCATTTGCCGGAGGGTATTATGATGGATTTCGTGAAAAAGTCAAATGCCTTCTTTTTCCCCCTTCAACGACTTTTGTTAGGTGAGCCACCGGAAACTTCGGTGACAGCAACGGGGAGTCCCAGGGAGGGGGTCAACCCCCCGCCAACCCACCTCACCTTTGCTGGAAGGTGATCGCCGACGACCCAGTTTGAATCCCTCACAGATATACCCAGATCATCCGCTTCTTTAGAGCGCAAGGAACCGCTTTCCCTCTCAAAGTCAACAAAAATAAACAGGTTTGGAGGAAAGCGGGAAAGCACTCCTTTCTCTCCGCGCGCGGGCCGTGCGACATTTGAAGCCCCTTCACGGCAAGTTTCAGTGTCATTGAAACAAGTCATCCCGGTTCGAGTCTCAGCAGCTGGCTGAAAACAGCCCATCCCGGGATCGACAAAGCGGATCTTAAATCGCGCAGACGATGCAGGGGGAAACAAAATGAAGAACGCCGGCGAAGATGCGATCGTCGGCGAAGCAGAGATCCTCTCGAACTCACCATCGGCGCGTTCTCCTCCAGACCAGCGTCGAGTTGACTGGCCGACTTCTCAGCAGCCCCTGACAACACTAGCACCGAAATCCAAGTGGTGGCCGTCTCAGACGCACACGGCGACGCTGACCGCGCAGTCAAAACACCGTCGTCGTCGCAGTCTCTCCGTTCTCCCGAAGGATGATGACGCTTGCGCGGATGGTCCTCCTTCAGAAGGGACAACGGGGAACAGCACACGACGATGGACGCCAGGAAGAACGCACGATCGAGAGTGACTGCAGATAGGGGCAGTTGAAGCGACGCCGGCACATGCTGGGCAGGGGTGGGGGGAAACGACGGCGGCGGCGGCGGCGAGGCGGCGGGCGGGCGGACGGGCAGAGGCACGCAGGCGCGCGAGCACGGTGGGAGCACTCCGCGGCGGGCCGATCCCGGTCTCGGCGTTCCTCGTCTGCGGACCGAATGGAGGAAGCGGAAACGCTCCGCGGGCTGCGCCCATTTCGCTCCGCCCGGGGGAAGCCGGCGGCCGCGGGACCGGTGACGCGCCCCTCAGCGCTCAGCGCCCCGTCGACCATAGCCGTCGCCTCATGTCCATTCTCGACGCGCTGGGGGTCCACCCGCTCGGACTGCCTGCTGCTGCCGTTCCCGACTCCCGACACGGCGGATGACGGCTTTTTTAGGGGGGGGGGGAATCGTTTTGCCCGAAACCGGGCTCTTGAAAGAAGCGGTGTTTCGCGCGTAATTAGGAAGGGCGAACGGATGGACGGAGAGAAAAGGATGCGCGGGACATTCTTGTCCGGGAGAACTCGCCGCTCCGGAAGAGGCTGGGTTTGGGTTTGGTGCCGGCGCGGAGGGTTGGAATTTAGCCTAGGTGATTGATGAAAGTGCGTCGCTATGCTGCGAAAGCTAGGGGCGCACGTGCGCTTCCAGCGCACTCTTCACTTTTTCTGAACTAGCGTCCAATGTCCGGAGTCGACCGTCGGCGGGGAGTCACACTTAATTAGTCCAGCATACTTACCGCCGAATTCAGAAACCTCACTCAAACTACACTCAAACTGAAGGGTCCAATGATTTTTGAACTGGTTTGAAATCTGCGCGGAAACCGACCTCATCGAACGTAGGAACATCGAGAAAAAAAATTTTTCGGAAGTCCGAGTTATTTCCAGAGTTGTAAGTCAACTAAAATCCCAAAAAAGAAGCAAAACATTTTAGTTTTCTCCATGATACAGTCCGAAAACTTAATTGATTGGAGGGTTGGAGCGAAGCGGGTTAAAGGGGTCATGAAACGAATTTTCAACTTTTTCCTTCTTAGCTTTCCTGCTCAACTCACAATCGAGCACAGCGTACCAAAGAGTTCCAAGAGGAGGGAAAGGAAAGAACTCCCCTTTTGTTTGAACCCTTGTTTGTGTACCCGGACACCGCCATTCTCTCTCTCGCCCCCCCCCCCCCCCCCCCCCCCCCGAAGATTAGTCCGTCGCTCAAAATTCGGACAAAAGTTGCTCTCCCCACCCGTTCACCCCTAAGCTGACAGCGCTGTGGAAGCTACGTGCTCGTTGGACCAGCCACACTTTTGCCACGTGATCACGCTCCCCCAACATACCCCCATGCCTACGCGCAGAGTATGGGAAAGGGAGGCGGCTGATTGGTCCGGCAAGCTCGTAGCTCCCACCGCACCGTCAGCTTAGGGATGAGGTGGCTTGTCGTGTGACGTGCGTTTGTGCCGGGTGACGTGATTTTGGTACCGCGGATGGGTCACAGTAAAAAGGCAAAGAGCTTTTGAAGGGAGGGAGAACGAAATTGTTCGCTATGTTTTCACGTTTTCGTACCGAAAATCAGGCTTTTGGCTTTGACGGGATGCTATTCGCGACTCCAGCGACCTATAGGGGGCGCCACCACCAAACAAACATGGCGGCTGGGTCCAGGTCGCGGCGGCCCGGCCGGGCCGCCTGAACAGGTGGCGCGTTCAATTTAACAGACTTTCTTTTGTTTAATGCCCAATTTTATATGTATTTGAACTGAGACGGTTAAATGTAGTCGGTGCGCATGAACTTGCCGAGCATAGTTTTGTTTTGCCGGTGTTTTTTTGTTCTTTTCATGTCAAACTTACGTTCCGGAGACTTCGTTCAAAACCGAAACTATGGGCTCCGGAGAAACGGTAATAGACTCTAATTAATTTTGATCATCTAAGGAAAGCGGCGATGGCTACAGAATTGTTCCAACGAGAGTAATTTTTAGCTAACTCGCATGCCTCGACCATGCGACTTATCTGTCCGAGAAATCGAGTTTTTGTGCGTATCCGCGTTTAAGAAACAGCTCAAGTCGTCTGCTCGGTCATCAACACAGACTGCAGGAAAATTACGAAAATTAAGCAAGCGCTTCTTGAGCCAAGGAGCATGTTAACCCGCTGGCGCTTCACTAAGCAGCTGATACTGGTATTTAAATTCAGGTTTTAGTAGCAATCGAGAAGTCATTTCGACCAGCGAGTTATGTATTATATTACGTACTATGTTCCACTAAAGCGATATTAGTATATTCTTCGGGCTGAAATATGAACTTAGTTGACTAGCTATCAGGTGACCTGCTGAATAAAAGTATATTACTATGCTTAAACTTAGCCAAATGGTTCTAGCCGGTAGCACGGAGACGAATGCGAACAAATCGAAGAGAGTCTTCATCGGAGATTCACTCAGAACCTCTCTGCATTGAACTTGACTTCGAATCGTGAACGGATAAAATTAGTATTTTTTTGTGGCCGATCAACCTGGGCAATGTTGACGTATATTGCTGCTGGCTTCGACGGGGGTATAATATAAATATTGGAGGCGCGATAGATCCTAATGCCGTGGCAGCTTCTAACTTTGCGAGACGCGCCCCCACCTTTTGAAAACAGATAATTTCCCTCGATCATTAATCATTGGCAGCGAGCAGGTTTTCCTGAATCAAGTAATTGCGAAATTAGTCCAACTCCTTCAGTGTGGTCAAGAGGCTTTTTCGGCGAAAATCAGCCAAAATGAATAGCCAACGCATCGGCCGGCGTGGGTGGCTCAAACTTGAAGCTAATCGAGCGCAACCAAACTCAAGAAAAGCAGCTATCGAACCTTCCCATTCACTTGACTGCAACATTGGTGTTCCCTCCAGTGAAACACCTCGTCTGTCGTCCATAGTCCACTGTTCTACATCCTTACAAAGAAACCACTTATCAGTTACCAAGTAGTCGTCACTTTGAATGTGATTCAAGACAGACAAGAAATCAAAACGTTTTTCCGTGATTCCTCCCCATCCAAGAAATCGAAAGCACGCGACCGTGTGTTGTGGAGTAAACGGGCTTTCAAACTCGTGATGGAAAGAAGCAATCTATCTGAGGCTTCACCACACTAATGAACACTCAGGCAAACTTAAGAAATTTTCGGACCTTTGTTGAATTACAATGTTCGCCACCGCGCCGACAACACGTGTCCGCGAAAGCCACCAGAGACGCGGAGAAGCGCGGAGCGACCTGGACCGGCTGGTTCCCGGTTTTCCCGCTTGGCGGCGTCCGTTTTGCTGGAGTCGCGAATAGCAACATCTGCGTCGGCTCGAACGAAACGAAGTAAAAACCGGTTTTGTTGAAACCGACACAGCTGTTGCCATAGGAACCCGTACGTCGCAAGCCGTTGCAGTTGCACTCGGTCATACTCGACGGGCGAAGGGGGTTTAAGCCAGTTACAACCGCCCCGTTACCATAGCAATCCACAAAAAAGATGAACGTCGCAAGCCGTTGCATTGCTGCCGCGATGAGGACGTGTTCGCATCATTCGTCGCCTCGTCGCTGAAGCATCGTCGTATGTTCAGGCCACGAACGCGATTGGCGTTTAGCAATGAACCTGGGCTGTTTATAGTTTGGCGTCGGCAAACCGAACTCGCGCCGGCGTAGAACGATGGTCGTCGTCTACCTCGACGCGTCCCGTCATAGAATCCAGCGCTGTGAGATAAAAAAAAAAGTGATTCGGGGCAAGAAATTGCACCGGGATAGGTTCGAAAAAAGAAAGAAAAGTAAATGCTTGGAATACCAAGTGCAGATAAGCATTTATTTTCTATGAAATGTCACAAAAATCCGAAAAAAAAGACGCAAAAACAACAAATACAAGAGGTTACAATGTCGCGTCCGTCAAAGCATCCGCCTGCCGACTTCGACAGATTTGATGCGCTCGCGTTTCGCAGGAGCCTTCCACTTTGATTGACGTACAACATCGAAAGGAGCGGACGATCTCTATATACACCGTTTACGCGTTCGAACTTCTGGGCACACCAAATACATGCACAGTCCGGGCTTCGACTGTGTTTTTATTGCACACCGCGTCAACAGTTGGCATTTGTTCTTTCGAGTGGGAACAGCTGCCCACGAGATACGCACAGGATCATGTCTTGGTCATATACACGAGGTCGTCCTAAGTTCTAATTAGCTGTAGCTTTGGTTTGTCATCAAGCCTCAAGCTTTGGCTAGCACCCCGTGATGATCGCGTCCAACTCGTTAGGCCACCAAAGCTTCTCGGGTAGCGCGACGCTCTCTAGACAGACACACATATACGGAAGCGCCATATCTGAACGGGGAGAACAGCACACGACACCCACGGCAGATTCAAATCGCTGAAATAAAAGACTATAGCCGACACGCCTATTCCCGACAAGGCGATGGGTGACCGCGCGAGGTTTAGCTGGGCGGCGTTGAATCAGCTCAATGCGCTATATAGCAACGCTAGTGCGCATGCGGGCTGGCAGGTTTCGCCACTCGGAGGCCGGCGTGTCCTGTTATTTTTCTTTCCTTAATAATGCGAAAGCATTAACTGTCCAATGGAGCGAACCGGCGTTATCAGCTGTTGAAGCCGCACCAAACGGCACCTAAATTGCCCTGCCCATAGAACGAAGCCTCTAGTCTGTACCATCCACACCGTTGGCTGGCGAGTGGTATAGTTCCAAGGAACGCCACCCCACAGAGAAGCCCTCTCCATGGCGCATCGGTCCGGCCGCCGGTAAAAGGGAGCGGCCGGCCGCAGAGCCAGCGGAGCACGCCCGGGCACACTCCGGAGAGGCCGCACGGCCGAGCTCAGCGCGGCGCGCAACTTGTAGGAATTCTCTACGTGTACGAATCTTTCGCATTCCGACACGTCACCAGTCTTAAGTGCGTCTGTAGTTTTTTCTGCACATTTTAAGGATTTTTTAAATATATTTTCCATCTTTATCGCCCAATAAAAACACTTTCTTGAAGTAACGACAGTTTACGGAGCGATACACCTTATTTAGCATGCATAAATAAAATTCCCACGGCTTTTGCCAACCGCCAATCACGAAATTTTTACCGGTAATGTCACGCGTGTTTTCAGGACGAATTAAAATATTATGCGCTAATATTTCTTGGCTACTTCTTGTTCCCCGAGTAGCCCGAACCACTAATGAGGTA